GGGGGGGGGGGTGGTTAAGATTTCTGGTCAAATTAGATAAAGCTGTACCCTATAACTACCTCTTCCTCCTCCTTAAAGATTCATATTGCCTATTAAAGGTTCTGAGAGGAGTGCCTGGGTGGCTCAGTCAGGTGTCTGACTCTAGATTTTGGCTCAGGTCATGATGTCACAGTTTGTGGAATCGAGCCTCTTATCCGGCTCTGCACTGGCAGCTAAGAGCCTGCTTAGGATTCTCTCTCCCTCTCTCTGTGCCCCGCCCCCATTCTCTAAGTAAACTTAAAAAAATAAATAAAGGCTCTGAGAAGTTCTGCAATAAAGAACCCTCCACTTTTTCTCAACTCAGTGTTTTCCTAATTTTTTCACCCAAGGACCCATTTTCAACAGACGCCTATCCCACAGAACACTCTGAGAAACAGGACTCTCACGAGTCTACATCCACCAGTCCATTTAGACTCTGTCCATTCAAAGCCAGGAATGAAACGCCCAGACCTCTGCAACCCCATTTCTTCCAAGGCCCTATTCTCAGATTCCCCATAGGCTCCCAATCCAGGCACCACCCTGCACAGACACCTGGCTACCAACACATCACTCTTTTTCTTACCTAGACACACAACCATCCTTATGAGGCAGAGACTTTTATTCCCATTTTGGAGAAATGGAAACAGCCTCAATAAGTTAATTGCTGGTGGAAAATTTTTTTGTCATCTTTAAGTGGCCACTGAGACGTGTGTTTCTGGGCCGTTTATGCATCTATGGGGACACAGGTTAATCAGATTCTGAGAAACTCAGTGATCCACACTTTTCTCCCCGCCCCCAGGATGCCTCTGGTGAGATTTGAGGACAAGGGCCTAGCAGATGGAGTCCCACCCAGGACTCATTTCTGTGCCTGGGACGCGCGTAAAGCGGTGGGGCGGGGCGGACTGGCCCTCTGTTCTCTCCGCCTACCCGGATGGGCCCGTCCTCCAGGAAAGGCACGGTGCCGGGTGTGTTGGAGGGGCCGTCAGGGGAGGCACTCACCGAGGATGCGGATCTGCGTAACGGCCCCGTGCAGGCCGAAGAGCATCCAGAGCGGCTGCGAGGCATCCACGCACAGCTGCATGCCTGCCGCGGCGCCGTTGTGGCTGAGGTGCAGCTCCCCGTCGGCGTTGACCACCAGGCCCAGGATGTCGCCGCTGTGCAGGGGCCCGGGCACGCGGCACACGGCCCAGAATTCCTTGCGGTCCACGAGGGCCTCGGGGCTGAAGGGCAGGTCTGCGGGCCGCAGCGTGCCGGGGTCGCACGTGGTGACGCCGAAGGAGAGCGCGCCGGGCCGCGCGCCGCCCGAGCGCGTGACCTTGACGAAGATGGTCTCGGCCACGCGCACAGGCCGGCTGGTGAAGACGAGCGCGCGCTCGTCGCGCCCGTGCTCCAGGCGCGCCACCGTCTGCTCGTCTAGGATCCGGACGTGCGCGCCGGCGCGCAGCGCGTGGAAGCGAAGGTCGCCGTCGAGCTGCGCGGGCAGCGCGCGACTGTGCTGCGAGTTGAGCGAGTTCTGCGGGATGGGGCAGCCGGCGGCCGGCGCGGCCTCGTCGCCCTCGGCGCCCGGCACGTTGAGGTCGCACAGGCTCACGGAGAGGCGCGCCTCGTCGGCGTCGCGCCGCAGCGACGGCCGCCGCAGGGCGGTGAAGGAGCGGGGCCGCAGGCAGTCCGGGAGCACCAGCTCGCTGTCTGCGGCCGGGGAGGGGGAGAGACAGGGTGACCGTCAGGCGGGCCGCTCGGGGCCAGCCACCGTCGCCTGCGCGCCTCCTCCCGCCAGCCTTTCCAGCATGCACCGCGAAATACCGACCGCGTTGTTAGCGGCACGGGAACGGCTTCGGACCTAGGCTAAGGAATCGGGAAACAAAGTCCTGCAGGACATCTGTTTGTTTAAGCAAAGGATCAAGGCTAGAAGGAAGAAAAACATTCTAAATGGCGCGCTTATAAAAGTTTTTACTATTAACTCCCAGGCCCTCCCTTTGGATCCCCAGCATTTAGAACTGCGCTGAGCACTTCAGATGACAAGCAGTAAATGTCTGTTGAATGCACTGTTGACGTCCTACCCTTCTGGAAGGTCAGGGGGATCCCCCTTCCCCAGAACCCCTCTGCATAAATTGTCTCAGCTTATCCTAACAATTACCTTTTGAGCTTAGCATTGCCGCAGAAGGACACAGGCTGAGAGAACTTAAGTAAATGTATCCAGGTTTCCTTTTGAAAGGGACTTACTTTCAAAGGGGAAATCAACCCCTTTCTCTTTTTAATCATACAAGTAAGACACACTGTCTTTTGTAGAAAAGACAGTTCAGCAAAAAGAAAAAATTACCACCTCTCAGCCCACCATCCAGAGAAAAATACTCTTAACATTTGGATGAGGACCTCCCAGCTTTTCTCCCCCCAATATATTCTTCAGTTACTTCTTTAATACAAAAATTGAATCACGCTATATCAACTCTAGTAGTTTTTAACCTTTTATGGGTAACAAATCCCTTTGAAAATGTGATAACTTTCACCTATCACCTCAGAAAAATGCACATTCTTCCTAAAGTCTGTGGATAATTCCAGGGCATCTGTGAATCCCATAAAGCCATCCATGGGCATGGACTCCAGGCTAAGAACCCTGCTATATACAGATTTCCTTTTCAAAACTAGCTTTTCCACTTACTGTGTCCTAAACACCTTTCCATGCCAATAACCATGTTTCCAACACCATATTTTTTTAATGGCTGTATTATGTCCTGCTCTATGGAGTCCCATCATTTATAATAAAAGTCATCATGCACGATGAATTACCCCTACATTTCATCCTTAAAACATCCCGTGGAAGTGTTCCCATTATGGAGATAAAACTCAGAGATGTGATGTGACAGCCACCAGGTGGCAGATCTGAAATTGAAGCAAGGTCTGTCCAACTCCTGATACCACATTCTTTGCTTTCAGGACCCCTCCGTGTTTATTGAACCCCTTCTGTGGGAGTCAAAGTCCCCAAATTTGGCTAGTGCCACTGTAGACCACAGCATGGGCCAATCCCTCCCTGAGAGCCTTTCCTCTGAACCTCCCAAAGCGAGAATCTGTGCTTTCTCTCCAGGACCTGGGTAAGGATGGCTGGGGTGCTCGGTGTGGGAGCAAAGCTTGAGGGACTGGACTGGTGTGGGCAGCTGAGGTCAGAATTCAGCTCCAGCTGAATCTAGAAACGGTCTCCAAAGCCTCCTTGTTTTTGTTCTCCCCCAGCCCCCATCACCCTTTCCAGAAACAGCCTCGTTTGGGCCTGGGCAAGGAGAAGCTGCTGGGCCCTCCCCCCTCAAGTCCCCTGCCTCTCTGGAGTAGCCTCTTGGGGCCTGGCTGGTTGGGATTTCCCAGCATCGTGCCTGGCAAGAAGGAGGGAGCCGACCGGAAAATGTGATTATTCCAGGGAATTGACTCTGTGACAGCGATGGTGCAGAGAGGCTGGGGGCTGCAGAGAGGCAGAGGCAAGGAGGCTCAAACAGGAGGGGGAGGCCTGAGAGACAGTAGTGTGGACCTGGGACAGGCTGTGGGCTGACCTGGACCCCTGGGAACAGCCCCTGCTTCCGACCCCTCAGGGATTCCAGCACTGGCCCTAGAGGACTCCAGGGTTGGAGATGGAGAGGAAGGGACAGGGACAGCAGGGTGACTAAACAACAAAAGGCTCAGATTCTCAGCCAGAGCCTACAGGAATAAGACTGTCACAGGAGCCCACACACATATGCACCCCGACACTCCTCTCCCTACCCCAACCCACACACACTCAGAACACTCAGCCCAGAGCCATGGAGCTGGGCAGACTCTCAGTACAGATTTCTGAATGGGGCTGGATGCGAGCTATCCTGAGCTCTGCCCCTTCAGGAGTCCTTCTGTACTTGAATATGCCCACTCCTGGGCCTCCCAGGCAACCTATGCCATTGTTGAGCTACTCTAAGAAAGTGTTTCCTTCTCTTAAACTGACATCTACCCTCCTGTATCCAAGGATCCTGGATTAATTTACTTAACTTCTCTCAGCTTCTGTGCCAATGCTATCTCTGGGGCAGTCCCGAAGAGAAAAGGACTCTCCTCTGGGAATACTCAGACACACTGCACACCTTCCCACCTCTTAGACGATGAACAGAACCAGCCTCCAGATGTTCCCTGACCAGCTCAAGGCACAGTGTGGCCATCACCTCCCTTGATATTTACACTATATGTCTAATAGTGCAACCTGACAGTATCTCAGATGCTTTAGCAGCCAAAATCCATGAACTGGTAGGCAGGATAGGAGCAAAGTAAGGATTTTGAAGTCATCAGCCTGGGTTCAAATTCTGGCTCTGCCATTTTCTGGCCATAGACCAAAAGCTTAACCTCTCTGGGCCTCTCCATGTGTAAAATCAGCATGTACTGACGTGTATAAAATCTGTATTCTAATACTCCCCTCAGAAGGGATGCTGTGAAGTTGAAATGCAGGAGGTAAGTAGTACCCTACTCTACCTAGTAGAGTACCTGGCACATAATAATCGCTAGGTAAACACGAACCACTGTTATTATCATTTCCATGCCCCAAGGCTCAGAAGAAAGTGCATGGGCTTTGGGGTGACACAGGCCTGGGTTTAACGGTCCAATCCAGCACTTGAACGGTGGCCAGTAAGGAAGCAACTTTCTTCCCAGCCTCAGATCACTCACCTAGAGAACAAGGGTAATAATACCTGCCTTGTGCTGTTGTTGCAGGGATCAGAGGTAGAGCGGGAAGCCCCCGTACTTGATAACCTCAGGTACTAGTACTTACTCAGGTTGAGTTGTGTCAACCAAAGTTAGGTCCACCTGCACTTAGGCAATTAACTTTCTGAGCCTTAAGGTAGGACTTCAGATAGATAGATAGATAGATAGATAGATAGATAGATAGATAGATAGATATAGGACTATATATAAGGTCATGAATGACATCACTGACTAAAGCCCAGAAAGGAGAAGGTACAAAGTGGACATTAGAGGAGAAAGAAGAGAAGGAAGGAGAAACAGTTGGGGGGGATGGGGAGGAGAAGGGACAGGAAATGACCCCTATGGCTTTGCCTGAGATCTTGGAGGAGCAGGGAGAAAAGGTATCAGAGATGCTGGGAAACAGCTAAAAATGGAATCCCCGGGGCCAGTGCCCAGCCCAAGTATGTCTCCTCTCCCGGCTCAGCTGCCCCTCGGGGTCAGGAGTGGCTGCAGGCAGCCAGCAAGCTCCAAAATAGCCATCCCCTCAGTGTGCCCAGCTGTGCCGGACCCTGAAATAGATGACACTGGAAATAGAGGAGCTGATCAGGCACCCTTTGCACAAGGGACGGCAAAGGTCAGAGCTGACTGGACTGACATCTAGTCAGAGGCCAGGGGAGGGTCCTGGCCGCAAAAGCCAGGGAGAGCACCCTGGGACCAGCCTCCGCCCAGGGTTACAGCTTGGAAAAACCAGATGGGCTACCTGTAACCCCAAGCAGCAGCGTGGCCCATTTGGAAGCAACAAGTTATGTAATCCACGCGCGGGACACATGGCTGCCCACTTTGGAGGTATTTATGACAGGAGGAGGGGAGGCTCCAGGCCACCGGAGAAGCTGTTAAGCTGGCTCCCCTCTCCGCATCCCGTCTTTCAGGAAGGAGCTTGTCTGTCTTCAGCTCCTGCCTAATCTGGTGCCTAGCGGTGGTCCTGCAAATACTTTGGGCCAGAGCAGAAATCACCGGCCCTGCAAGGGCAGTGAGGCCAGGACAGGGGGTTTCCTCCCCGTCAAGGTGGCACTCAGGTCACCCACTCACTGACACACTGTGTGCCCAGCCCCAGGCAGTGGTAGAGACAGAAGGAGAAGCCAGGACATGGGCCCCAGGGAGCCAGTAGGCTGTGGGAGGATCAAAGCTTGGAGGCATGAAAATATGTGAATATAATTTTGTTACAAAATTCTCAGTGTCTCCAGAGGAAATCCACCTCTCCCTGCCAAGTTCTCACCCAGCCTTGACTAGAATGGCCCCGGGGACAAGAAGCTCACCACATCCCAAGGCTATCTGTCCCCTGTCTTTGAACAACCGTAACTGTTAGAAAAGCTCTCCTTGCACGGATCCCTATGTGTCCTATAGCCACTCCTTGCACCCTCTCTGAGCCTTCTCTTCTTTAGGATAAATATTCCTTTTAGGATAATGCTCTCTAGTCGAGGCTGAGGTCCCCTTCCTGTCTCACAGTGAGCCAGAGACAGCATCTCAGAAGAAACAAGATTTGACCTGGACCCTGAAGGACAAGAGAGTTTGGACTGACAGAAGTGAGAGGCACTCAGTGGGAAAACTGTTCTAGTAAATGCCTGGAGAACAGCCTGAGCAGGGCCAGCGGGGCGAAAGGAAGGGAGAGGAGGAGAGGAGGGGCCAGGCTGAGGATTCCGGGGCCAGCTCTGGCCAGAGACCCACCGGGCCCTCCCACATGTTGCCAGCCAGTGCAGGGCAACCAAAGCAGGGCCTGGGCACTGGTGCAGGGGCCCTCCGGGGCAGGCAAGGGGCTCCTTTGAAGCAGGGCCTGCCATCAGCCCCAGAGTCTTGTTTGTTTAGATTCTCACATCCGGAGCACTGGATAATCTTTAACCATGGGTCGGCCTGCCGCAGCCAGCCGGCTGGCGGGTATCTGCCGGCCCCTGTTTAGAAGGTGCTGCCAGCCCATTTACTGTCTCCATAAACATCCTCTTGCTGGTCAGCAT